TTGTTTTACGTGTGATGGGATGTTGCTCGTTGATAGCGAAAAGATCGAGCCCCGGAGCACCGTACGACGCGCGATTCTCTCTGCGCAATGTTGATATTCGATGTATCGTAGCTGTGGCTGTGCGCCCGGTTGTGGCCACCCGCTCAAATCTCGCGAGAATTACGAGCACTGGATGCCCCGTGTTGCACTTCTGTGCGAACGGCGTCAACGGCGACGCGCTTCTTCTCGAGACACACGACTTGATGGGCGACGTCTTTTCCGCCAGAGATCTCGCCAAGTACTTTACGGGGATGCCACCACCACGACTCGTGTTTGTGCTTGCGTCGCACGCCGAGAAGATGGGTGCTCAATACATCTACACCACTGAACCCTGAACCCTAAACCATTTATGTAGCGGACGCATTCCTGGCCATGGGCGTCAAGCACGTCATTGGCATTCAAGCCAATTCGGCCATGAGCGAGGACGCTCGCGTCGACTTTGTGATGTAGGATTGCTTGCGACTCTTGATATGCATTATGTGCCTCTGGACTAGGTCATTCTACACATTGCTTTATTACGGACGCAGCGTCGGCGAATGCTTTGTCGGGGCACAACACGACGTCCGCCGTTCGAATATCTACGACGCAGAAAAGGTTGGCATCGCGACGATCAAAACTGGTGCCACTCAGCTCGCTATAGGCAGCGGACCACTTTGTCCTCCTGCCGCGTGGCGCCGATCACTCGGCGTTCATCTTTCCCGAAGCGTTTGATGACGCGGACGTGTTGCCCGGGGACCCGTTCCCGCGCCTTCAGGCCGATTACCTCCCGAAGGAAGTCCGGGTGCGTCTACCTGTTCTAGTTCCATTCTTTCTCATGACGATGGACTGCGTAGGAGTACAAGGAGCGCCAACTCGACGAGGGAGAGGTTCGCTCAAAAGCAAAGCGACGATTCTAGGAGGTCCGCTATTTTCGTGCGTAGATCTGCAGTCACCTCGCAAGCCGCAAAGCCCGTGTTGTATGGTTGCATGGACCAAGCGACGTGGGCAAGACACAGCTAGCCTGCAGCGCGGCCCACGCCTTGCAGCTCACGCGTATCTTTGCGCGCGGGATCACATTCATCAGCGTTGAAGATATCGATGAGACGTGCCCTGGGGTCGCAAACGACGCTGGCCTCGATGAGCTCAAGCTCCAAGTCGACACTTGGCTCGCGGCAACCGCCGACCGGTCTGTACGGAAGCAGCGGTGAGCACATTGCTTACGATTCTTATGATTAGGTCGTCGGAGCCCCAAGCCGCGACGCTGATCCTGCTCGATGGCGTCGATGCGCTCGTCGCTTCGCGTCCATTTGTTACGTGGCTGGACGACCTTTGCATTGACAAGCAGTACGTCCAGCTTTTGGTCACGTCCCGCGCTGTTGCTTGGCACATCGACGAGCTCGAAGCCCCCCACCACAAAATCGAAATTACTCCCCACACGGCGTTGGCGCCAAGCACACGGCACCAGCACCGCCGCCGCATTCAAGCCCGCGACTACGATGCGCAACGGCATTTTGAGGAGTCCTGGCACACCACCAGCATGCGTGTATGAGTATACTAGCACTAAGCCATGAAAGAGACACCGCCCTCTTCCAAACCATCGAGTCTACAGATACCAAGCGAATTGTTTTGTCCCTTTGGTAGGCATATAGGTTGTGCGGAACATGAAAACGGCAGATTTCCAAGCGTCGTTTCGATCGAAGGATCCATGTTTTCCCCCTCGAGCATGTACGACGACATGGACGAAGAGCTCGCCAAGTCGACGTACTTTGGTGTACCTGCAACGCCACGCGAGACTGTCTCTTCCTCTGCGTCTTCCTCGCGACTGAGCACCGTCGTTTTTGCCAACTGCCCCAAGGCGCACGCGTGCGGCGTCCAGCTTGGCACAACGATCGCGTTCTTGGGTCTCTTTGCTATTGCGCAGGCGTACCTCTGGGACCGCTCGGCGCCCTTCTTCGCCGCGACTTCGCTCCTCCTCTGCTCGTACGAGTTTCTATGGCTC